GCTGGATATTTTCAGCTCCTCATCCATGATTTTAGGAGATCCCCATATTTCCGATATTCCTATCAGATTAGTAATATATATGTTACTTAGTTCATGCAGACCATTCATTTTGTTCGGTAAACTTGCAACGTTTGTGTACAAGCAGCTATTGCTTCTAAGTTGGAACGTATATATGTCGTTGTCGTTTCTGTCTGTCTGAGCCTGATACAGACGAACACATTAAAAGCCCCAGTAAACGTTACACGAAGGGGCATTAGATCAGTTTTAGGTTCAGTCTGGAAAGGATAGGAGGCTTGGTGGCCTGTGTTAGTCCTGGCAATGACGGTCTCTCAGTTGATCCAAAGTTCTTTTGAAAGTGTCGACGGATGGATATGACAACGGGAATATATTTAGATTGGCCAGACGAGCATCATACGGAAGCTTCGCCATTCCGGGAATCAGCTTAGTTGCTGTTCTCCGAACCTTTTCCAAAAGCTCAGTCTTTTTTAGGCAGGGGCTAGACGCTTATATGCAGTACTCAAGTTTAGGACTCACGAACACCATATACAAAGTCGAAAACGTTTTAGCATCGATGTAACTAAAGGCCCTACGTATTGACTATAAAGCTCTAAAGCCTTTGGCGGATATTTCATGGAAGTGTGCAGTAGTCTGTAAGTAATGGCTTGTAGTGGCATTGGGCCCTACCACGAGACAATATGAGAAATAGACATTAAGCATTTAACGCGGAGGAATACAGAAGAATGGAGAAGGCGGGGAGAATAAATTGAATTAGTCTGAGTTGATCGGATGGCATGGCTCGGCCTTGCAGGCGTGGTCCCAGCTGAATTTTATCTTCCTAAGCTTGTTCTCTATCACGTATTGGCAATTGTTACAATGCAATGAATCGGTGTAGACGATGATGTAACTTCCACGTAAGATCTTATAGATTAGGCAGTTACATCATGATAAATCTACAATTTTAGGATTAGGTCTATTATTAGAGCAGTGCTAATATCATAGTAGAATGTAATTCTACAGGCTAACGATAACTCCTAAATCATTGTCAGGACAACCGGTAGCTCAGTGTTATTTATCGTGTATGTATCTGCACCTTGTTGACCGCGTAAGATCCAAACTAAGGTTTGGACTGAAGAATAGCTGTCTAGGTGGGTTAGATATGCGCCGTCGCCCAGTTGAAACCAAAACAAAGTGATCGGGTGAAATGACGGTTCTAATATTTATCATAAATTTAAATGTACATTGTTACCTAAACAAATATGACCACCCAGCTACCTAACCAATAATTGTTCAATTAATCAAATCTAAATTACAACAAATAAGGAAGTTGATAAATGATGAGAGAAAATTACCAATCACGACAAATAAATGTTATTCTATCCTGTCTGGATAGATCAAGCACAGATTCCTTCAAAAGATAATACTTGGTTGCTTTATAACACAGAGTGTTTTCAATTCTGTGCCTCAATTCACAATTGAAAATGCACAATTCCAGTCAGTACAAGCAACACAGTCAAAAGGAGGAACGAATCAATATGGCTGCCGCCAAGAATAAGTATCAAGTAAAACAACATAAATGCAGTTCAGGAAGAAACATGGAGACTTAGTGAAGACGTAAGAAAAACAAAAACTATAATAAAATACAGATATTAACAACTCAAATGGAATCAAAAAGACTAACAATGTACGACTAAAGGAATCAAAAGGAACAAACCTCAAGTGTATACGTGGAGGGATTTCCACACGCAAAACATTCAAAATGGATCTTACGGACCGATATGCATCACAATACACTTAGAAGTATTAATGGGCCACTGCCAGGTTTGAGACCATTCAGATAATTTCTCCAGGTCATTTTGGAGTTCTAAGCTATCACACTTACTTCGTATCGCTCTCCATCGTCAGCATATAGCAAGACCGATTATGATAGTAGACGAGGAAGGTCATTTACATACAAGAGGAATAACACTGGCCCCAAAACTGTACCCTGAGACACTCCACTAAGTACAGCTTCCCAGCTCACCCGTACACGTTTTTGGCCCCAACTAGGAAGTCTTTTACCCACATCAATAAATTGCCTTCAACCCCGACATTTTTCAACTTATATAACAGCCGGTTGTGCAAAACTTTGTCAAAAGGTTAGCCAAAGTCAATGTGGGCAATGTCTACAGGTAACCCTTGGTCCCTAAGGGCTCACCAGCTTTCACAAGTCACTAATAAGTTAGTTCTCCTAGTCTTTTAGTAAACGACCCTGGGCTACGGATAGATTAAAGCATATATTTAAAAGGTTCATGATGAAGTTAGCTAATTAGATGGTGGTTGAAGGTAGTCAATAGGAAACCCTGGACCCGAGTTTCGTGCTACTTGGCACTCGTCAGCAAGGTGTACCTGTAATCTTGAGGGAACTGGTGCTTTCTGACGGATTCGATACCGTGTCGCTCAGCTTCACAGTCAGAGACGTTACCATTGAGCTATTTGAGCCTCGACCGACCTCCTGTAGGACTGAGATGTAATCAAAATTTATCGATCACTGGATGGTGATCAATGTCATTCTTGTCTAGTCCTTGTTAGTGCAGATCGAACGCTATCGACCATGTTGCAATTCCTTTAGTAACCTAGGATGCAGTTCATCGGGCCCCGTGGATTTGCCTATGTCAAGCCTATTTAGGAGACCAAAGACATCGAGTCCTTTAATGGTTACGCTGTCCAGTGTATCCGTGTGGGGATTTGTATGGACTGACGGGAAAGGCGTTTCTACGGTATATACATTTCTGAAGTAGTTTGAGAATACTTGAGCTTTACCGAAGTCATCCTCCACTAAGGATGCGGAAGTACTGTCTCCACATAGTGCAGGACTATTTCCCCTTCTTTTTGTTCTTTGGTTTATATACGAATACAGACGTTTAGGACATTCTATGGATTCCTTGACAATTTTATCTTCGTAAAACCTTCTAGACCTACGAAGGGTCGAGGCACATTTCAAGCGGCAACTTACTAGTTCACACGTCCCACTCTCATGGGATACACTGTCGATAATGAAAAATGGGATAGTATTCCTAATGAAAAAGCTACTCCTCTTCTTTTACGCTTTTGTATTCTGTCAGCTCTTACTAACGTAAAACCCTCGAAATCAAGTTCCATACTACCTATAGACTGCGTCAGCCAAGTTTCTGCGACTGCGACTGTAGCTGGCTCGGTAGAGTCAATCTGTACACCTAGTTCCAACAGCTTATTCAGCAAGCTTCGGACATTAGTGTAACAGATCTGAAGCCTATTTAAATGGCTTCGTGCTGCACTCACAGTAATTTCGGCATCATTCTCTGTCGAATCCTCAAAATTTACAATTTTTAAGTACTGTTTGCCAGCGTCTAACCTAAGTTGTACATTTTTTAGGCTTCCCGTTATTTTACACGGTCTACCGGCGGCAAGTCCTTACAGATAAAATCTCCTGAACCTCTTTATTTGTAACCATTCTTTAAAATAAATTTCCCTGCGTTTGCAGATCTGAACACTACTTTAAGCAGCCTGGGTTGGCTAGGTTTAAAGTTCGCTTGACCACCTAGTCTATACACATTTAGCAAGGTGACTCCGGAGATATTTTGAGACATAAGTTGATTTAGTAACTGTTTTATCAGACCAGTTTACTGCTCAAAACAAGTTTTCGGTTCAAAGCTGTCACTCTCTTTGATTCTATGAAAAATAACTGACCTGTCACTGTAGTCAGTTTTCATATTCTCGACTACTTTTGGGAGGGTAGGATTCTTTTTTATATCGTTATGTTGATTCTTGCCTACAATCTGTGCCAATTCACCAACTATGGTTGGAGTAACAACCACAGTTGATTCAAACATACTGTGGGATTATGGAGGTTTATGGACGACTTGAAAAGTCAGGTTGTGTTTCCTGCTAGAAATCGATCGAGTCGTACGATTGCCGTTCCTAGGCGTTTCCTGCTGGATATCGTTTGGACGGGGAACAGAGGAAACTTTTTGAGTTTTTAATTAGAACCTATTTGAAGACCATCTTTCCTCCTTCGATCGATGAGAGTCAGCTGTTTCCGAGCTCACCTGAGTTTCCTTCATATCGATTTACGTGTCGACAGAGTGAGTACTGTCCGATGTGTCTCGACCGCGCTTGCTAAAACACTTTTTTTCAGCATTTACCATTCAAATGGCCCTTGTTGAAAAGCTGTTTGCATCCGGACAGATTTGCTGACAAAGGCATACTCAGCCGTTTTTATTGAACCGTTTGAAAGCCTCAGGCATCAAATTCGTGTGAAGATACCACAGATATTCGGAATTTGACAACGCTTTAACCAGTAACACCTTCTAATATGAAGCGTAACCACCAAGTGAAATCAAAAGACAGAAGTGAGGAGGTTCGAAGATATATTTGATAAGCTATCAATATATCGAGGACCGTCTGGACTAATCTGGCTAGCGAATGCGGTAGATGTTGAGCACGGCGTTCCCACACGTGATTCGGTGCGGATGCTTGACCGAGCGCCTTCAGCTAGATAAGTCCATTAAAACTGTGGTCAGCATTCAATGTCGAAAACCTACAGAGCTATTTATTTTGGGGATTTATTTACCGCTACACATGAGAACTTCGTGATGCTAGCCTTTGCACTGCATGCCAATTTCAACGGGATATCGACAGCCCGGACGTTGACAATTGCTTTTTTACAATGTCCAGTAATCAAACAGAGGTCTTTTAAAAAATTAGATACAATAGTATCCAGGGATAAAAATGATTTATGACCAAAGAAAGTGGAAAAGTGGAAATTGTTAGAACCAACAGTACTAACAAATGCAATAGAAAAACAAAGTGCTCGAAAGTGCCGACGATAAACTACTTTAGAAACAAAAAATATACTCTAACCAAACACTTTGACTGAAATAAATTCAATTAAAGTGTAAATAGTAGTATTGATACGTAACAAACAATCAAAACAATACAATTTACTCTGAGATGAAAAATACAACTGTCCTTTTTAAAATGATTTTGGTGTGCGGTGCCCTTCTCCCGTGTAGATTACACGACTTTCATCGGTTAAATCATTGAAAATCTGAGCTTCCTGATTAAAACATTTCCTGCCATCTCTATCAGATGTTGGACATCGCACAGTTGTTTTATCTTGTTGACTAGGTGACCCAGGGCTATGGTTGATGCCTAGCCTAACGTTTCCCTGGTTATTGGACTTCTGGTTGTGTAGTCGACTGCGGGATTAGGTAACGTGTTTTTGAGTTCCACTTGACGGCTTAGCATAGGAGGTTCTACAGTATGAGGCGTGGGGAAGGGCCGAAGGTGGAACTGCGGTTCCTAATATCGACCAAAGTATGTCCACTTCTGACATTTTTTAACTCATTAAAGGCAGCTGGTGTAATAATAGGGAAAGGGGGTGAAAATATTAAAAAAATTCGTGAGGAGGTAATTGTTTACTTATATATTGTTCGCCCTTCTCCCCTCTAACTTTCTAAGTCCTAACTTGTGAGTGTATTTTCTCTTTCATTTCTTCTGGTTTTGCCCCACTCTTGGCCCGTCCGAATACCAATGTGTCCAAACCAATGGTCCGTAACCCACCCTACCCTGCCCCGTATTGCCCATCTGCTTTTCGCACCACTCACTAATCCGGTCCACTCCCGGTGGGTCATTTCTTACTCTTTTGTTTGTACTACTAGTATTCTGTTAAAGTTACCATCCCCGATAGCAACGGCCCTGAGAGGTATATTCTTATGTCCAAAAAAATTTCTTAACTTATTATAATCTAATATTTTTCCATCTAAAGGGTCTTGGTTCTGGATGGCGATCTCGGTTCAGTCATCGAAATATTCAGAGAAAATCTTGAGAAGGTATGTATGTGTAGTTCCTAGTTCACAACGCTTCAGATGCAAAGTAACCGCGATGACGGAGTTGATTTACGTTTACTTGTACATCAAAGCCAAGCTGGATGTGTTATTGGAAGGGCTGGATATAAAATCAAAGAATTACGAGAGGTATTTCGTAACCTTTGACGTTTATCGAAAAATTTAGCAATCAGGTCTTCATACTCTCAAAGTTTATCAGATGCTGTGTCCATGCTCTACTGACAGGGTGATTCAATTGGTTGGTGATGTGGGGAAAGTGCTTGATTGTCTCCGTTCTATAGCTGAACTTCTTGAGGTAATCTTCGTTATTGCATATTTCCCTCCAGGGTGCTCCACCTAAGGGCTCTCGCCAGAACTACGACGCGCGAAACGCAGATGAATTTATTTCTCCTGAGTATGGAGGTTGGGGAGTAGGTAATCAAGGTCCTGGATTAAATTTGGTCCGTAGTAGGAACAATGTTGCGAATACGAGTTACCCCCATGTGAGTTTTTCCCTTTACGTCACTTCCTGTTTCAATTTATCCTTTTGATTTTCTCTAAATTTGTGACTCAGTGTTCTAAGAACAAAATAATGGGCTTAAACTAAAAGTCCAAAATAAATAAATGCAAACTTTATTTGTAACTTGAAGTTTAACACCTGTACTCAGATCCGGCCACACAATTCCCATAATTAAGTCTTCGTATCCCTAGTTAACAAATATTAGGCAATAGTGCCTGCAATCAAAACATTGGAGTCCTCAATGAAGTATTTGCCAAATACATACGACAAAGATAAATTAAGATATAAACGAGCTGTAAGCAGCAAACAAGTCCTTACCATTGAGTGCGCAGTTAGACTCCTGTGATCATCTTTACAGTAGTATAATGCCTATTATTCTGATTTAGTTTTTTTTCAATTGATAGTTAAAAATCTTAACTCAAAATCCTGTTTCACCGGGGTGGTTTCAAACCGAACTAAAACTAAGCAGCTCTTTGTGGAGTTGGTATCTGTGTGAGTAGTCAAGTTGAAAATTCAACCTAATTAAAGTTAGTTTATTTTAACTAGTCTTGAGAAAACGAAATGCTTAGAAGTAGACCTCAGTTTGCATAACCATAAGATAATGGATTGCTTGAGTAAAATGAATAAAACTTAAATGAATCTTAAATTTAATACAGATGATCAGTCAAGTACTTGGTTGCTTGGTTTTGAGAAACATGATAATACTTAGTATAACCGTGCAATTCCTGTCCTGATGTATAACTCAATAGTTGTACTTCTTTCAATGATAATATCACAAACCCTCACAAAATGTACGAATCTTTATATGAGTACATCAACCTAAGCTCAACTACTGAGTTATACTGAAATCAACACGATAGCAAGTATATTTGTGTCGTGCGAGTCGAAAAATATTTAGGCTAATAAAAACGGATTCCGAAAAGACGATAATGAAATTGTTATTTTTCCAAGACCTTTTCTGAGTATCTTACAGTTCATAAATCTTCCTAGATTTCATTAGTTCATCAAGTTCTTGAGTGCATTTCGATTACTCGCTAACTTAACAAACAAGTTAAAGTTTTTATAGTGTTTTAAATTCATTATTTGTGTAGAACAATATACTCACAACTGGGATTTTCGGCGGGGGTGCTTCCGGAGCTACAGGACGCAATGGTGGGCAAACAACGTCTGTTAGTCAAGCATTAGCTGGAGGTCTTCCTCACGCATCAGCAGCAGCCATGCTTGCTGCGACTGGTGGTCAGACAACTGGCGGACCCAATCCTGGTACAGCAGGAGATGCCGCTGCTGCTACAGCTGCAGCAATGGTAGCGGCGGGATTCATGAGAGGGTATGTAACATTACGGTCGTGCTATAGCTGAATATATTTATATTCCTAGCAAATTAAAATACTCATGTACATAAATAACTTGTCGTATTATAATGAACCACACACACCCACTTGCGGGTCTCGAGCATACTAATCCATACATTACAACTAACTCAACAAATGCGATGTTGGTCTTCAATTACATTATCTTCTCTTAGTGCGCTTAAGCCCTTCACGTTAATGAATGATGTCGTTAGAGTAGCTGATATTTATGCAATGCATTTAATGCGTGTGCGACAAAATGTTATTAGTGTGTTGTCTGTTTAATCAAACACAAGTGGTCAATATGACAGCAGGTTTCATTGTCTACTTACTTTGTTGGTTGTGTTACGCGATGCGAGTATGCGAACTGAGAGAAGTAGAGTTTCTTTTTACTGTACTATGAAGACAGAATGAATCGATATACGTTGTATGTGTGTGTGTGTGTGTTTCTGAGTAATCCAACTTTGTACAGGAAGACATTAATTTGTTTGAATTTCTGCCTTTTTGTGAATATATGCATATGAAAGTGTCTTGTCAATGAGTTGTTTTGAATGATTGTTCACTTGTTGTGTAATTATGTGTACGTAGATCTTTGAGCATAGTATGTTGAATAGCCGTTCAGCTACTCCGTGTATATGTGATTCACGACGAGTCGTTTCCTGCGGCTGATATTGAACGGATGCATTGCTATGCCTCTTGTCCATTACAGGGACTTGTTTGGTACGAATGCAGACGACATGTCACTTTAGTTATTTGTCTTGTGCGTAACAGACATGAATTTTTGGGTTATATATATATATATATATATACGGAGAAGAGAGAGACGGGTTCGTTTGATTTTGTGCAAATGTGATTTGGTGATGTGGGCTAATCTTTGTTTGTTATTTGTGTGTGATGACTTGCCGTTGAACTGTTTATCGCATTTATAGTATGTGCTGAACAGTTGTTTGCGGCTGAAAGATAATTTGTCGTGTCGCACATGCAGGTTCTTTATTTCCAAACCCTGTCATCACAACCGACATACATGAAGCTGTGTCCTGATTGTGAATAGTCTTGCCTGATATGTTCGTTTCATTTTATCTAACGAAATTGTGTATGTATATACACAGTTGTACACACACATATAGAGTAGATTTTGTATGTTGATGCTTTATATGAGTGTGTATTAGTATTGTTTGGGCTGTGTCGATTGGTTATGACGAGTAGCCGTTCAGCTGCCCCGTGCATAGTTGATTCACTGTGGGTCGTTTCCTGCGGCTGAGATTGAATGGATGCACTGCTTATGCCTCTTGTCCATTACATGGACTCGTTGGGTACGACGTGCAGGTCACATGGGATGTTGATTTGTTAAGGTGTTCATGTCGTTCTTAGCAGTGTATTCGTATGTTTGTTTGTGATTGGTTTTGCTGTGTCTGTAGTCAATCATATAGCTACTATACTGCATTGTTCACGTTCGTGAATGATGTCGTTAGAGTAGCTGATATTTATGCAATGCATTTGATGCGTGTGCGACAAAATGTTATTAGTGTGTTGTCTGTTTAATCAAACACAAGTGGTCAATATGACAGCAGGTTTCATTGTCTACTTACTTTGTTGGTTGTGTTACGCGATGCGAGTATGCGAACTGAGAGAAGTAGAGTTTCTTTTTACTGTACTATGAAGACAGAATGAATCGATATACGTTGTATGTGTGTGTGTGTGTGTGTTTCTGAGTAATCCAACTTTGTACAGGAAGACATTAATTTGTTTGAATTTCTGCCTTTTTGTGAATATATGCATATGAAAGTGTCTTGTCAATGAGTTGTTTTGAATGATTGTTCACTTGTTGTGTAATTATGTGTACGTAGATCTTTGAGCATAGTATGTTGAATAGCCGTTCAGCTACTCCGTGTATATGTGATTCACGACGAGTCGTTTCCTGCGGCTGATATTGAACGGATGCATTGCTATGCCTCTTGTCCATTACAGGGACTTGTTTGGTACGAATGCAGACGACATGTCACTTTAGTTATTTGTCTTGTGCGTAACAGACATGAATTTTTGGGTTATATATATATATATATATATATATATATACGGAGAAGAGAGAGACGGGTTCGTTTGATTTTGTGCAAATGTGATTTGGTGATGTGGGCTAATCTTTGTTTGTTATTTGTGTGTGATGACTTGCTGTTGAACTGTTTATCGCATTTATAGTATGTGCTGAACAGTTGTTTGCGGCTGAAAGATAATTTGTCGTGTCGCACATGCAGGTTCTTTATTTCCAAACCCTGTCATCACAACCGACATACATGAAGCTGTGTCCTGATTGTGAATAGTCTTGTCTGATATGTTCGTTTCATTTTATCTAACGAAATTGTGTATGTATATACACAGTTGTACACACACATATAGAGTAGATTTTGTATGTTGATGCTTTATATGAGTGTGTATTAGTATTGTTTGGGCTGTGTCGATTGGTTATGACGAGTAGCCGTTCAGCTGCCCCGTGCATAGTTGATTCACTGTGGGTCGTTTCCTGCGGCTGAGATTGAATGGATGCACTGCTATGCCTCTTGTCCATTACATGGACTCGTTGGGTACGACGTGCAGGTCACATGGGATGTTGATTTGTTAAGGTGTTCATGTCGTTCTTAGCAGTGTATTCGTATGTTTGTTTGTGATTGGTTTTGCTGTGTCTGTAGTCAATCATATAGCTACTATACTGCATTGTTCACGTTCGTGAATGATGTCGTTAGAGTAGCTGATATTTATGCAATGCATTTGATGCGTGTGCGACAAAATGTTATTAGTGTGTTGTCTGTTTAATCAAACACAAGTGGTCAATATGACAGCAGGTTTCATTGTCTACTTACTTTGTTGGTTGTGTTACGCGATGCGAGTATGCGAACTGAGAGAAGTAGAGTTTCTTTTTACTGTACTATGAAGACAGAATGAATCGATATACGTTGTATGTGTGTGTGTGTGTGTTTCTGAGTAATCCAACTTTGTACAGGAAGACATTAATTTGTTTGAATTTCTGCCTTTTTGTGAATATATGCATATGAAAGTGTCTTGTCAATGAGTTGTTTTGAATGATTGTTCACTTGTTGTGTAATTATGTGTACGTAGATCTTTGAGCATAGTATGTTGAATAGCCGTTCAGCTACTCCGTGTATATGTGATTCACGACGAGTCGTTTCCTGCGGCTGATATTGAACGGATGCATTGCTATGCCTCTTGTCCATTACAGGGACTTGTTTGGTACGAATGCAGACGACATGTCACTTTAGTTATTTGTCTTGTGCGTAACAGACATGAATTTTTGGGTTATATATATATATATATATATATACGGAGAAGAGAGAGACGGGTTCGTTTGATTTTGTGCAAATGTGATTTGGTGATGTGGGCTAATCTTTGTTTGTTATTTGTGTGTGATGACTTGCCGTTGAACTGTTTATCGCATTTATAGTATGTGCTGAACAGTTGTTTGCGGCTGAAAGATAATTTGTCGTGTCGCACATGCAGGTTCTTTATTTCCAAACCCTGTCATCACAACCGACATACATGAAGCTGTGTCCTGATTGTGAATAGTCTTGCCTGATATGTTCGTTTCATTTTATCTAACGAAATTGTGTATGTATATACACAGTTGTACACACACATATAGAGTAGATTTTGTATGTTGATGCTTTATATGAGTGTGTATTAGTATTGTTTGGGCTGTGTCGATTGGTTATGACGAGTAGCCGTTCAGCTGCCCCGTGCATAGTTGATTCACTGTGGGTCGTTTCCTGCGGCTGAGATTGAATGGATGCACTGCTATGCCTCTTGTCCATTACATGGACTCGTTGGGTACGACGTGCAGGTCACATGGGATGTTGATTTGTTAAGGTGTTCATGTCGTTCTTAGCAGTGTATTCGTATGTTTGTTTGTGATTGGTTTTGCTGTGTCTGTAGTCAATCATATAGCTACTATACTGCATTGTTCACGTTCGTGAATGATGTCGTTAGAGTAGCTGATATTTATGCAATGCATTTGATGCGTGTGCGACAAAATGTTATTAGTGTGTTGTCTGTTTAATCAAACACAAGTGGTCAATATGACAGCAGGTTTCATTGTCTACTTACTTTGTTGGTTGTGTTACGCGATGCGAGTATGCGAACTGAGAGAAGTAGAGTTTCTTTTTACTGTACTATGAAGACAGAATGAATCGATATACGTTGTATGTGTGTGTGTGTGTGTGTTTCTGAGTAATCCAACTTTGTACAGGAAGACATTAATTTGTTTGAATTTCTGCCTTTTTGTGAATATATGCATATGAAAGTGTCTTGTCAATGAGTTGTTTTGAATGATTGTTCACTTGTTGTGTAATTATGTGTACGTAGATCTTTGAGCATAGTATGTTGAATAGCCGTTCAGCTACTCCGTGTATATGTGATTCACGACGAGTCGTTTCCTGCGGCTGATATTGAACGGATGCATTGCTATGCCTCTTGTCCATTACAGGGACTTGTTTGGTACGAATGCAGACGACATGTCACTTTAGTTATTTGTCTTGTGCGTAACAGACATGAATTTTTGGGTTATATATATATATATATATATATACGGAGAAGAGAGAGACGGGTTCGTTTGATTTTGTGCAAATGTGATTTGGTGATGTGGGCTAATCTTGGTTTGTTATTTGTGTGTGATGACTTGCCGTTGAACTGTTTATCGCATTTATAGTATGTGCTGAACAGTTGTTTGCGGCTGAAAGATAATTTGTCGTGTCGCACATGCAGGTTCTTTATTTCCAAACCCTGTCATCACAACCGACATACATGAAGCTGTGTCCTGATTGTGAATAGTCTTGCCTGATATGTTCGTTTCATTTTATCTAACGAAATTGTGTATGTATATACACAGTTGTACACACACATATAGAGTAGATTTTGTATGTTGATGCTTTATATGAGTGTGTATTAGTATTGTTTGGGCTGTGTCGATTGGT